AGTGCAGATTGGGCCTGACCTCAACCAATCTTCTTAACCTGGTCACTGAAACGGAATCGCCAATCTATAAGCCCTGATTGCGTTGCAATCCGGCCAATAAAACTTGAACCATTAAGGTGACACAAATGTCAAACAAAAATATTGTGGTGATATCAGAAAATAAATTATCTTGTGACACAGAGGTAATACAATTTGTACATTCCAGTGATCTTGTTGAAATAAGACAAACACTTTTGTGACACTCATGTGAAACTTTAAATGTCTTGGTGAATTGAATAATAAAACAATACCTCTGACCCATAGTCTGGTGCCTGCAGGTTCCTCCGCTCAATATCGCAGAATTCTCCCAGTGTGACTTCCAAACCAAAGAAGTGGAGAACAAGACTCTTTCTGGCGTTGAAGAAGGACGTGATGTGGTTATCCTTGGATATGGAATGTTTTGTAAGGTCAAGGCCAACCTCCTCCACCATTTCTCTATTGGCAGCCTCAACAGGGTCCTCTCCTGGGTCAACCAGACCTCCTGGGAACCCAATCACACCATCAAATCGCATCTGCATCTTTGAAAAAAGAACAAAGAAGTTCATTTCTTTGAAAATGAGTGGTCTACTGTGTGAATTCTACTTCGGAGAATCTGAAGTTAATCTCTCATACCCTTTATTCCTCCGTTCTTCTGTACAGTTTCTGTAATTTTCACACTTCTTTGTCGTTTATCTTGATAGAAACTTGTTTCAGACAGAGTTTGCTCCAAGGCCCAGTTATCATACTGTGTCACGATAGATATTTTATGGTCAAGGGGAGGTAATCAATATGAGGAGTCAATATTCTGGACTCTGTTTAATACTGTTGAGATTCTGCTTGTGTTAGATGTGTAGGAATATTTTATTCTGGATACTTTATTTCTAGGTATGATTTCTGGTGATGAAATATATAAGACAGAGGTATATAGAGCCATACACACACACATACATGTAACACACACATGGGTGTACACTGTACATACATCTACACGATAAATAGGTACTCAGAGGACTCCATGAAGTAGATCAGCATGAACATAGAAGAATGACATCCAATCCTGATATGTAGTATAGAATATCCTAGATACCAGGATTTAAACATCAGAACATCTCCATACCTTATATAACAAGTAATAAAATAATTTTCAAACACTAATGAAACAAGCATATCAACTTATACTAATCACTCCTGTTGGCCAAATTGGTAGAACAGGAGGGGTGTTAATACGGGAGGAAACAGAACTACCTTATGCTCACATCCCCCCGTCAGGGAATTGAACCCTGGCTGTCATGGTGTAAGGCCGGTGTGCTGTCCACTGCACCACTCGACTGATGTTAGTTACTTACAAGGATAGCTGCCCTGGTCGGATAAAGATC